TTGGGGTGTGGGGAATCACCAACTGCACTTACGTCATTGGTAACCCTCTTGGCTTGGCTATGTCATTGTTTTTATTTCTATATAAATTTTTCATATAATGATATCATATCTTCAGCTTATCTTTACTTGAACTATTTAATGTCATACTCAAATGCATATTCTAAAACTCTTTTTCTTGTGTTATGAAACTGATATGTACTGTCAGAGCACTAATCTCCAGACTATATAAAGAACTCAAAAAACTTAACCCCAAAATAAACCAAACAACCCAATCAATAGATGGACTAAGAAGCTGAACAGACACTTCTCACAATAAGATATACAGTCAATCAACAAATAATATGAGAAAATGTTCAACATCTCTAGTAATTAGAGAAATGCAAATCAAAACTATTCTAAGATTTTTGTCTCATGCCAGTCAGAATGCAGTTGTCAAGAATACAAGGAGGATGTGGGGGAAAGGCACATTGATACATTGCTGGTAGGAATGCAAATGGGTGTAACCAATCTGGAAGCAGTATGGAGATTCCTTAGAAAACTTGGAATGGAACCACCATTTGACCTAATTATCCCACTCCTTGATCTATACCCAAAGGACTTAAAATTAGCATACTATAGTAACACAGCCACATCAGTGTTTATAGCAGCTCAATTCACAGTAGCTAAACTGTGGAACCAACCTAGATGCCCTTCAATAAATGAATGGATAAAGAAACTATGGTATATGTACAGAATGGACTATTACTCAGCATTAAAAGAGAATAAAATTATTGCATTTGCAGATAAATGGATGGAGTTGGAGAATATCATGCTAAGCAAAGTAAGCCAGTTCCATAAAACCAAAGGCCAAATGTTCTCTCTGATAAGTGGATGCTGATCCATGATGCATGGACATGTGGGCTGGGAAAAATGGAGGAACTTTAATTGGGCAAGCGGGAGGAAGGGGAGAAGAGGGGGTATGGGGGCAGGAAAGATGGTGGAATAGGATGGACATCATTACTCTAGGTACATGTATGACTGCACATATGGTACGACACTGCATCGTGTACAATCAGAAATGAAAAGTTGTGTATAATGAGTCAATATACATTCTGCTGTCATATATACCTAATTAGAATAAACAAAAACTAATATATGCTCAATCAGAAACTTAGAAATTGTGTACCAGCTAAAGATGACGACTTTGAATAATTTGGGCTATTATCTTTCATTCTGTATTCTGAGTATATGTGTATTAATTTGTAAATTTTAAAAATAATGGAGTCACACTGTATTGCAGTTTTATTTCCCGAGAACTTAGTTTTTTTTCTGAAAAATATTTATATTTTGTGATTGTGATAGACTCTACGAATATGAACATATGAATGAATATATGACATTAAAAGTCTAGTTATTTTAATGTATGTGGTTAAAAGTCATGATTGTTGTTATCTGCAGGAGTGTTACTTGAAGAGTAGAAAGAGAACGAAGGGATTCTGTGGTGCTGTTTCACAAGTGTGTTTATTTTTGTGAATATTGAGCTGTAACATGCATACATTTTTATATTTGTATATTATACTTGAATAAATTTTAAAAGGTTTAATAGTTATTGAAATAACACAGATTAATAACCTGGATGATTGGACAGAGAAATGAGGAAGTATTTTAGAGAACTGTTTTCCTCAGTTCTTTTCAATGATATAAATAGCTTATTTTAAAAATGTTTGTTGAGAAATGTTAATTTATATCTGTGTCTGACCTCCAGCCATTTGGACTAATTTTATTCCTTTATGGCAACCAATGACAGGAATTCAAGGACTTTAAATCTCTGAAAGTAATAGTAGCAAACTAATCAGAAATGAAAGAATGAAGGAAACAATCAAGTGGAGGAACACCCTACATAATGGGAGAAAGTATTTGTAAACTATACATATGGCAAGGGGTTAATATCTAGTATATATAAGGAACTCAGCTAAGTGTCTATCAGTTGATGAATGGATAAAGAAAATGTGATGCATATGTACTGGAGTGCTAGTCAGTCATAAGAAAGGATCAAATTCTGTTATTTGTGACAACTTGGATGGAAATGAAAGATAGTATGTTACGTGAAATAAGCTGGGTGAAGAAAGACAAGTCTCGCATGATCTTGTGGAATCTAAAAACACTCGTTTCATACAAGTTGAGAGTAGAATATTGGTAATCAGAGACTGGAAGGATGGGAAAAAGTTGGTCAGTGGGGATTAAGTTAGGAGAAATAAATTATTTTTTTTCCTTTAATTTTTATTGTTGGTTGTTCAAAACATTACATAGTTCTTGACATATCATATTTCACACTTTGATTCAAGTGGGTTATGAACTCCCATTTTTACCCCGTATACAGATTGCAGCATCACATCAGTTACACATCCACTGTTTTACATATTGCTATACTAGTGTCTGTTGTATTCTGCTGCCTTTCCTATCCTCTACTATCCCCCATCCCCTCCCCTCCCCTCTTCTCTGCCTACCCCATCTACTGTAATTCATTTCTCCCCCTTGTTTTTTTTTTCCCCTTTCCCCTCACTTCCTCTTGTATGTAATTTTGTATAACCATGAGGGTCTCCTTCCATTTCCATACAATTTCCCTTCTCTTTCCTTTTCCCTCCCACCTCTCACCCCTGTTTAATGTTAATCTTCTTCTCATGCTCTTCCTCCCAACTCTGTTCTTAGTTACTCTCCTTATATCAAAGAAAACATTTAGCATTTGTTTTTTAGGGATTGGCTAGCTTCACTTAGAATAATCTGTTCTAATGCCATCCATTTCCCTGCAAATTCTATGATTTTGTCATTTTTTAATGCAGAGTAATACTCCATTGTGTATAAATGCCACATTTTTTTTTTATCCATAAAATTCGTCTATTGAAGGGCATCTAGGTTGGTTCCACAGTCTTGCTATTGTGAATTGTGCTGCTATGAACATCGATGTAGCAGGTTTGCCTACCTTGCAGGCGCTGGGGCGGCTCTGCCCCTCCGCGGGTTGCTGGGCCTGTTCTGCTGGTGGGTCGCAGGTCCGCCTACCTTGCAGGTGCGCGGTGGCTCTGCCCCTCCCCCAACCGGGGCGATGTGTCTCAGGAGAAATAAATTCTAGTGTTCTATTAAAGTACAGTGGGTGACAATAATGACGATGTAATACTGTATATTTCAGAAAAATCAAGAAAGGATTTTGAATATTTACATCACAGAGGTAGATATGCTTACCTTGATTTGAACATTATATAATGTATATGTTTTGAAACATCACATAGTATACTAATAAATCTGTACAGTTTTTATGCGTCAATTAAAAAATGCCAGTATCTCTAGGGGGAAAATAAAAGAATAGACTAATCTGTTTAGAATTTAACTTAAAAGTGAACAGACAAGGAGCGTATCTATCTAGCTTATTTACTCTGCATCTCTAACCCTTTTCTTTACATTCATCATTGCTTGTTTGTTGAGTCTACACACCTGTGTTGGTTGATTCACAGGTGTTACCACTTTAAAAAAAAAGTTTTGTCAGTATGATAGGTAAAAATATTGTTGTCGGGCTGGGGATGTGGCTCAAGTGGTAGCGTGCTCGCCTAGCATGCGTGAGGTACTGGGTTTGATTCTCAGCACCACATAAGTATAAAATAAAGATATTGTGTCCACCTAAAAAAAAAAAAACTAAAAAATACTAAAAAACTAAAAATATTGTTGTCTTTTAATTTGTATTTTAGTTATTGAAGCTTAAAAGTATTTTTATTAAGGCACATGGGTTTAATTTTTTGAGAATTTTGCTATTTAAGTAGTTTAGATGTGGGTTGTTCATGTGGTTGGTAGGCATTAGTCTTTTGTGGCTATTGAACATTTCATGTGGAGCTAGTTCAAATTGGGATGTATCATACGTGTAAACTGATACATACTGGATTTTGAAATTTATGAAGAAAGAATGTAAAATACCTCAGTAATTTTTGAATGTCAGTTGCACTTGAAATTATGGTATGCTTGGATATATTAAAATTATTTTTACCATTTTCTTTTTACATTTTTAATGTGGCTACTAGAAATTGTAAATGTACATATGGTGGGTGTTATATTTCTGTTGGACAGTGCTGGTTGAGATAGTAATCTAATCATTAGTGATTAGGACCTAGATTAGTGTAATATTTATAGAAAGGAAAGTAGGGAGTATTTTTTAAGAGATTATGAATTATGCATGTATCTTACATAAACTCTATTAAAATAGAGCATATTTTACATTTGTGTGTCTTTCCATCATGGCTTTGTAATCAATAAAAACACTTTTTGAAGTCAAGAACTATGTCACTATTATTTTTACATTCTTCTCTGTATCGTCTGCTAGTTTCATAGAAAATTGATTTGAACAAACAAGATTAATAGGATATCATATATTTTATAAGCTTAAGTTTTAGAAAGTTGATCATTGAGTGATTCTTATGCTGTATCTTTCAATATCATAATTTTTCTAGTGATCCCTATCAGTTGTATTCTTGAAAGGTAATATGGTAAATGAACTAACATCTATTCATATAAATGCCAAGCTTTCTGTAGTCATTTGATGTCTTTTTTGGTTTAATCCTTATTATAACCCTATGAGGAAAGAATCTATCACCATCTTATGGATTATGAAATTTATGTTGAGTAATTTTTCCAATGTTCTGTTAACCAAAACAGATAAGCCAATTTCAGAGCTAGCACTTCTGTACTGTAGCTTTCTGTTCAATTAAAGATAGCCAGTTATTTAAAGTGATTTGAAATTCATGTATTTTGGCTGACATGAAATTAATGGAAATGTAAAATGATAAATTTTGACATTATATATTACATATTCAATAAGAAAGTAAATTGAGAAATAGTTCCCAAAGCCTAATGGGAAGAAAAAGACACATTTTTTTTTTCTCATTTTATTGTGTATTGCAATTCCAGAAATTGAACCATATTTCATGGAGGAAAAAATTAAGTTTTAATAGTTTAACTGTTTCTTTTATTTTGTCTTTCAGATAAAATCAAAGACAAAATTAAAGAGAGAGACAAAGAAAAAGAGAGAGAAAAAAAGAAGCATAAAGTAATGAGTGAGATCAAGAAAGAGAATGGAGAAGTAAAGATTTTACTGAAAAGTAAGTTTATATTCAGTGAATTTTGTTTCACTATATTGTACATATTGTGATTAGAATAAGGAAATGCTATGTTGTACTGATATTTGATAAGAATGAACATTAATGGAGAGGAAATAAAAAATATAGGGAGTTCTGATCTGCATGTAACATGTATTTGGTATTTGTTTAGTGAATCATTAAGGTTTCAAGGTTAAACTTCACTAAACTATTAGATTCCTTAAATAATTTTAAAATAAGTTATCTGACCAGTATTTGTATATTAGTGTTTATCCATATTTAGATAATCTAAAGTAAAAGTGTAAAGCAATTTTTAGTCTGATAAGGATGATGAAAAGAAGTGATCTTACAAATATTTGACTTTAATTACCATATCATAGTCTAGAATTGAGAGGGAAGATAATCAGAAGGGATACTGTGTTACTGTATGTTTATTTATTACATACTTAAGAATATCTTTTTTGTTTCTTGTTTTCTTTTTTGGTACAATTGTATTCAGGTACTGGTTTTATGTGGGGTAGCTTGGGGAGAATAATTTTAAGGATAGATAGATAGTTGGGTAATATGTCTTTTCATTTAATCTGAACTTTTTCGTAGAGAATTTATGCTGAAATACATGTACAGAGAATCTTAAATTCACACAGATAGCAATATATGAAGAATCAATGGCATTCATTTGTTAGATAGCTAGGAAAGTCATTGTCCTTTATCAAGTTAATAGATCAAGTTGCTGATCAGAACATGTTGACCATGATTAATTTCATATTGAATTTATGTGTTGGCAAGCCTTTATATCTATATAAAGAAAAAAAGCCTACTGCACTGTGTGTACACAAAATAACTGGTTAATTTATAATATTTAAGATAAATATAGTTAGACTTTATTTTCATTTCCTTCTTTGTCATGTTTCCAGATGTTCTTTTTTTTTAGTTGTCAGTGGGCCTTTATTTTATTATTTATTTATTTATTTATTTATATGGAGTGCTGAGAATCAAACCCAGGGCTTCACACATGCCAAGCAAGTGCTCTATCACTGAGCCACAACCCTGGCCCCCAGATGTTCTTTGATAGTACTTTATGTAAGGTCTGTTTTGTATATGTCAGAATTTTATTTTCTATAATATTCTTTTACTCCTGAAGAAAGATGTCAGACTTAAGTTGATTGCTACTTAGTTAATATTCTTTATCCTTTTGTTCTGTTTCTTTTGCCTGTGTGTGTGTGTGTGTGTGTGTGTGTGTGTTTTGTGGTGCTGGGGATTGAATTCAGGGACTTGTGCATTTGAGGCAAGCACTCTACCAATTGAGCTATATCCCCAGCCCTGCCATTATGTTTTATCTATGTTACCTAATTAGATTGTAAGCCTTAAAGTCAGGAATTGATTCTAACCAAACTCTAACATAGCAACTAATGATTAATTCTTGAAATGTTTTCATAACTTTGTTGGTTTAGTCAATTAGTCATTTTTTTTGTTTCTAATTTGTTTAATATTAAAACAATTATAAAACATACAGAGAAGTTACTGTATATTGTTCACATATTGTTCAGATGTGAATATAAAATAGAAATGCAGAGAATCCTCTTTTATTGAGGAGGAGATAAAAACTCCTAAAAAATTAGTCCCATCATGGAACTGTAAACTTTTTTTTTTCGTAGTTTTATTTTTTTTTATTGGTTGTTCAAAACATTACAAAACTCTTGACATATCATATTTCATACATTAGATTCAAGTGGGTTATGAACTCCCATTTTTACCCCAAATACAGATTGCAGAATCACATCGGTTACACATCCACATTTTTACATAATGCCATATTAGTAACTGTTGTATTCTACTACCTTTCTTATCTTCTACTATCCCCCCTCCCTTCCCCTCCCATCTTCTTTCTCTACCCCATCTACTGTAATTCATTTCTCTCCTTGTTTTTTTTTCCCCCATTCCCCTCATAACCTCTTATATGTAATTTTGTATAACAATGAGGGTCTCCCTTCCATTTCCATGCAATTTCCCTTTTCTCTATCAATTAGTCATTTTTATAGATATGGTCAATACTCATTTTCTTATCTATTTGAAAGTACAGGGATGTAAATTTCTGTCACTTGAAAGAATCTATGTCTTAAAAATAATTTATAAAGGTTTTTATGTTCTTGGTTGAATAATAGATTTCTAATACACTGTTAATGTGAATATGTGAGTCTAGAGTTTATGTATGCAAATAAAATTAAAAACGGCCTAAAAATGGAGATTTTTTTTAGGAACATGCAATATTAACTTTAACTTTGAAATGGATAACACATTTAGGAAGTATTTTGAACTGAATTAAAGTGGAACTAGTGATGTTAAAAGAGAAAGAATGAGAAAGATTTAGAAATAAATTTGTGACTTCTAGAATGACCATGGAAAAATTTAGAGAAATTTACTGTATCTATTGTATGTTTTAGTCAACTTTTTCGCTGTTGTGAGTAGAGGATCTGTCCAGAACAACTGTAGAGGAGGAAGAGTTTATTTGAGGGCTCACAGATTCAGAGGTCTTAGTCTATAGAAGGCTGGCTGCGTTTCTTGGGGCTTGAGATAAGGCTGGACATCATGGCAGAGTGTATGGCAGAGGGAAGCAGCTCACGGTGATCAAGAAGCAGAGACAGTCTCTACTTGCCAGATACAAATATATACCCCAAAGTCATGCCTCAATTCCCATCTCCCCCAGTCACACCCTACCACTTCAGTTAATCCAATCAGAGATTAATTCACTGATTAGGCCAAGGCTATATCCCCATCATTTCTCCTTCTTGTATTGTCTCACATGTGACCTGTTGGGGGACACCTCACATCCAAACTGTAACACTGTACAATGGAGGTGAGTAATAATTTAGTTACTTTTTTCCAGGATTGTGAAGATTTATATGAAAGAAACTGTGAGATAAATGCTGAGTATAATATCTGGCCCCAGGTATTCAGTAAGTGAATATGAATCTTATAAGTATATTTAAAAGAAGCAACAAAACTAAAACTATGTCCTCTCCTCAATGTGAAGTACATAGATAATTAAATGAATAAAAACATGATTCATTTGGAAAATAGTGACTATCCTATTGTAAGTACTGAGTAAATGTTAGCTATTGTTATTTTCCAGCAAAAACAATTTGCTCAGCATGTGTGGCCATTTCCCAAGTGAGCTTCTGGTCTGGAAAGGACATTTTTTTGTCTTTGGTATTCTGGAGTAACAGCAGAATCAGTTTTATGGGGCAATGTGCTATCATTTCATACCATGTGCCCTGTTTCCTTTTTGGTCTCCAGCTTTTGCTCTTCTCTTAAAATGTTCTGGTAACATTAATGATGCAAGCTGTAACACACAGTCATTGTTTGATGGTAGTGGTTGAAAATATAAATGATAACTATTTCATATTAATCTCATTTCCTGAAGGTTTTTGTTAAAAATTGTGTTTTATATGAAAGTAAATAAATGCATGTGTATAAAAATATATAATTGTATACATGCTAAAATGTTTTCAATGCAAAAATCTTCATAAATCCTTTTTATTGATAAATGGAATTATTTGCTCTTAATAGAAATAGCTTAAAAGAACAAATGAATTTGAAAAAAAAGCTTATTTAGTGGGCCCATGTGATGTACAACCATAAGAATGAAATCCTAATTAGAATAAGTTATACTCCATGTAAGAATGTTAAAATACACTCTACTGTCATGTATATCTAAAAGGAACAAATAAAAAAATGTTTAAAAAAGAAACTTATGTAGTAGGTCTCATTTTTTATACTGAAGTTTACCAACTATTGTATTTTAGTATATGTATGTGTTCCAGTCATTTTTATCTGTTTTTTTCCTTTTCTTTTTAAAATATTTTTATAGTTGTAGATGGACACAATATCTTTATTTTATTTGTTTATTTTTATGTGATTCCCGTGATCGAACTCAGGGCCCTACGCATGCCAGGCAAGCGCTCCACCACTGAGCCACAACCCTGGCCTTTTATCTGGTTTCTTAAGGCTGAATTGTGAGAACATACATATTATGATTATAGCATTTTGGGGAATAAATTTTATTATTGTAGTGTGTCAGAGAAGCTCGATGAGGTTCTCTGAGAAGGAAGAATGGGGGTTAAAAAAAGCCAGTGTTCAAGTATAATGGTAGTGTATTCAAGATCATAGGTAGCTGGGGCCTTGGCGCACACCTATAATCCCAGCAGCTTGGGAGGTTGAGACAGGAGAATCATGAGTTCAAAACCAGCCTCAAAAACAGCGAGGTGCTAGCAAGTCAGTGAGACCCTGTCTCTAAATAAAATACAAAATAGGGCTGGGTATATGGCTCAGTGGTTGAGTATCCCTGAGTTCAATCCCTAGTATAAGGAAAAAAAAAAAAAAATCACAGGTAGGTTAGCCATGGCAGAAGGAGTGACAGCATTGTAGTGTGAAAAATCAAAGTTGTTTTCCAAAGACCAAAGGTTGAAAATTGCTAAGCTAATTACTACTTTGTTTTCTATATACAATGGAGTTGTATATGTTATTTCCTACATCACATTTGAAATATGATCCAGTTTTCTGGGTAATGTGTATTTTTCATTGTTTTAAATGCAAAAGTATGCTAAAGTTGGTAGTAGGAATTAATATTAGTGAATTTTATTTTTAAAGTGATTTTGATCTTTAAAGTAATTTTTCATAACTGTTCATTAAAAGTACATGCTGTATTTGTACTGTTTGTGTGTCGTTCTTTCTATCTATGTATGAGTTTCATTTTTTCACTGGCTGTGTGTCTGCATTTCTGTTTTTGATTGTTTTGCTTAGTTTGCTCTCTCTTTTCTAGCTGTTTCTGTGGTTCTCTGTGTGTGCATGTATGTTTATGGTACATTATGAATGTGTGTTTGTAGTTCTTTGTGTGTATATTCGTGGTCTATGATGTGCATGTGCCTGTGGCTCTGGTGCATGTGTGTGTTTCCATAAACCTTATACTTTTAATCTCATATTTTTTTAGAGTTAAGTTTACTTAGAGAACAGTTTCATTCTTTCTGCTGTAAGTACTTACCAGTGACCTTTATTGGGTCTGATTTGTTGTTTTTGTTTGAAGAATTATAGATTTATAATGTGTACTTGAAATACTTTTTAGTACAAGAGAACATTGATATTTAAGGTGATCCTATTTTCTCAAAGTATTTTAGAATTTTCTACATATGTATCTGATGCCTTTCATATGTAGAGACAAAAAATGAGTAAGAGATTATATAATAGCAAACGATAAAGCCCCAGTTTTGTTTAATGCAAAGAATACCTATGTCCATTGGGGATTCCCCAAACTTACCTGTAGATTCTATTTGCTGGGAGGACTCACAGAACTCAGCATATAGCTGTACTCATGGCTATGATTTATTATAGTGAAAGGATACAAAGTAAAATCAGTAAAGAAAAACAGCATATGGGACAATGCCTGCAGGAAACTTATGTAGGTTTCCAAGAGTATGCTCAAAGAAGTCACACAGGATGCATTTAATTCATTGAGCAGTGAATTATAACCACACATGTGAAATGTTGTCTACCAGGAAAGATCATTAAAGAGTCAGTGCCCAGGGTTTTATTGGGAGTTGGTCATAGAGGCACCATCTGCCTAGCATAAACAAAATTCTAGACTTCCAGAAGGAAAACGAGTGTTCAACATACCCCATATTGTTTGTACAAATATTTTAGGGACAGTAAACTGCTGTTACCAGGAATGGTGAGAATCCTTTAAAAATACAAGTTTCTAAATACCAGCCAAGGGCCAACTTTACAAGCACACAATCTCAGGTATATTCTCTCTTCTTCAAACTCCTCACTGTAATATTTAATTGCAAAGTAATTTGCCATGAAAATTTAACTCCTTTGTGCTTAATGTAAGAATCTTTCACTAGATTCCTTATTAGTTTGCATTTTTTGGTTTTTATTATAGTATTTCTTTTTTGGTTCATCCTCACAGATAAGAACTAGATTAAGTGTTGTGTCTATTTTCTCTTTATTTTTTGCCTATTTTATTTCAAAATAATGTGTTCTAGTGATCAGGTATTTTCTTTTCTTTTTTAAAATCTGTAGGTGTAAATTTAGTTGAATATTAAGTGTTTCCATTTTAATAGGCTTTATTTTGGCAAACTATTTAATTTGTGCAATTTTATATGTATTTTTAGTTGTGGGGTTTAGTAAGCTGTTAATTATGTCTGTCTCCTTTAAATGTTTTTAAATTCTACTTTTTGTTTCATTGCTGTCTATTTTTCTTGATTTATTTGTATTTTACTTATGTATCTAAACTTCTTTTTATCTTTCATTAGGGTTATTATGATTTGATTTTTTTGTTATTAATTTTGTTAAGATATTAACTGGAAGCTGATGTTTTGATAGTTTGTACTGAAGACAGCAAGGATGAATTTGTTAACATTATTCAAATATATTTCTTAACTGCTTATAGACTTTAGAAATTAACTTTGCATTTTATGATTTCATAAATCTATGAAATAAATAATGTTGACAGATTTCTATTTTTTCTTTTCATGGTGATACTCATTTTGTTCTTCATTGCATACTTAGGAAGCATCTCTTTGAATTTTTAAAAGTGACCTTTTTTTTTTTATTAACAAAACTTCCCTTTTATGGACTTTCTGTCAATTTGAGATGATTTTTCTTGTCTCCAGGCTTAAGATTTAGTGGAATTTATATGTGGAAGAACTTGATTGAAAGGGAGGCAAGGAAAAAACTGTAAACTTCAAATAATCTTTGGTGAGATAGTTCTTTTAATTCATAGATTTGTCATGTGTTTATGTGTAGCTCTATATTAGATGGTTTGTGGAATACAATGATGGAAAAGAAATATCAGTACCTTTTTAGTATCACTCTGAATTCATAGAAAAGTCATTGTTTTACTCATACAATGTCATGAGGAACATGTGTTGTACACATATCCTACGAGTGAAATAAATAACTTCTTATATGATTTAGGAGTAATTTCAGTTCTAACTGAAGAAATGAGGGAAATCAACATGAAGAAAATGATGTAAGAGTTTTCTTTAAAGGATGGATGAGAAATAATTCAGTGTATGTACTGAGCAAGGCAAAGGTTATTTTAAGGAGAGGAAATGCTTTTGTTAGGATTAGAAAGAAAACCTAGGACTAGATATGTTTTATAAGAGATTGTGAGTAGTGCCGTTTCATGTGAGCATGAAGTTCTTGAGGGCCTCATCTTTGAATTCCAGACTGAAGAGGAAACTGCTTCATAGTTTGGCATTGAGACCCCCTGAAAGCAGTTATACCAAGGGATGAACATGATCAAAGCAATATATAGAAAATATAGAAAGATTAATGTGCTGCTGGCATTCAGGATGAGAGACAGTCAGATGACTGCTAGACTATAAATTAGGACAGTGGTATCAAGAAAGTTCAAAGTAATCAAGGACATACTGGATAATTCTGTCAAATCACACAAAGATCAGGAAGATTATATGAGAAAATGCTGGATTTGCTCTTTGGAAATTTTGGAAAAGCAAGTTTGGGTAGACTAAAGTAGAACCAGAAATAAGCAGAAGTTAAGCAATAAGAATGCTAAGGTAATAAAGGAAAGACACTGGACATAGATGGTTCTTTATGAGAAGTTTGGTGGTCAAAAGAAGGGAGAAATTTACTAAGCAAGGTTTTTTGGATTTGGTAGGAGAGAGTTACTTATGAAAATAGAACGTCTCACTGAAAACAGGAAGAAATAAGAGATGTGAAGGTGGAAAAATTTATGTGAAGAGGCAAGTGGGGAGAATTTTATGCATGGCAGCTTATTTGTAAAAACAAAGTTAATAGGGCTGAGGATATATCTCAGTTGGTAGAGTGCTTGCCTCACATGCATAAGGCCCTGGGTTCAATTCCCAGCACCACACACACACACAAAAAAAACAAAACAAAGTTAATAGATGGAAATAATGTCATTTCCCAACTGTTAGCTTAATGTATTTTTCCCCATGTTGGGAAACAATATTTTCTTGTAAGGTTGTTTTATTTATTTATTTATTTTTCTTCTTATTATACAGAAATGGATATACTGTGATAATGTTAAATGCTTTTTATGTATACTTAGATTCTGTAACTGTGTGAATTACTTTTTTGTCCCTTGAATTTCTGAGCCCAGAGTCCACTTGCTTTTGTTTATAGAAACTCCTTTCTATGCAGCTTGTAAGGTACCACTCTTTCTCATTCACCTTTTTATTTATCTCTTTACTAGCACATGAATGGCCCTTGAGCTTAGGATATGAGAGATCATTTTGTCATCTCCTTTGTGGCACTTTGTTGGATCTTCACTTGGAACTTTGTAAAATTTGGTAGATTTAAAATAACCCATTTTAGACAAAGAGTGGTTTACTAAAGAGTAAACAAAAAGTTAAGGAATTGCTGTTATACTTATGCTGTTATTTTCCACTTTGTTGATTTATAAATTTCCTTGGCATCTGGATACAATTTTTAAGAGTGGAGATAAAGTAAAATTAGTAATGTATATAACAGGAAATATCTGGATGGTATTATTAATTTTAGCATTGTTTAACTTTTCATTTTTGAGTTTTGTCCTTAAGATTTGAAGATTATACTTTCTGAAACATTTATTCACTTCATTATTGCAGTAAACACTGATTGAGCATCTGCTGTGTTTCCAAAGGATGTCCCACATCATTAGTTGTAATTTGGTCCTAACCCTTCCTCTGTATAGTGTATGTATGGGTTATGTGTGTGTATGCAGAGAAAGAGAGAATGAGAGAAATCAACTAAATTTCGATTGTCAACACTGTTTAAAATAAGTCCTAAATAGAAAACTAATTCTGAGTAAATTTTCAGATGTTAACTTCTTATTTATTACAAAACAGTTTCTAAAGCATGTTTCTTTAAATAAGTAAAATATGGAGTTTCAAAAATATTTTTTCCCTACAGGTGGGAAGGAGAAACAAAAAACAAATGTAGAAGACTTACAAATTAAAAAGGTAAAGAAGAAAAAGAAAAAGAAACACAAAGAGAATGAAAAACGGAAGCGTCCAAAAATGTATAGCAAATCTATTCAGACTATTTGCTCAGGATTGCTATCTGATGTTGAAGATCAAGAAGCCAAAGGCATCTTAAATGATAACTTAAAGGATTACATTGGAAAGAATTTGGATACCAAGAATTATGACTCCAAAATTCCAGAGAACAGTGAGTTTCCGTTTGTCTCATTAAAAGAGCCACGAGTTCAGAATATCCTCAAAAGATTGGACACTTTGGAGTTCAAACAGCTCATTCATATTGAGCACCAGCCTAATGGAGGTGCATCAGTTATCCATGCTTACAGCAATGAACTCTCCCACCTGTCTCCTATGGAGATGGAAAGGTTTGCAGAAGAGTTTGTGGGTCTAGTGTTCAGTGAAAATGAAAACTCTGCCGCTTTTTATGTAATGGGTATTGTTCATGGGGCAGCTACTTATTTACCTGACTTTTTAGACTACTTTTCATTTAATTTTCCCAATTCACCAGTGAAAATGGAGATATTGGGAAAGAAAGATATAGAGACAACAACTATGTCCAATTTTCATGCTCAGGTAAGAGGTTTTAGTTTTATTTCTTTTTAATAATTTTTAATTTTTTTGGGGGGGCAAACTTCTGTTCTTTGTTCCTAATTTTGCTGTAGGTTTGAAATAAAAAGATAAAAATATAATGAAAACTTGAGAGTATTAAGAATATTTTCTTGATGTGAAACATTTTAAATTTCAGATTCTACACATGTGTTTTAAAGATAACTAATGAAATAATTCTATTGTCCTCTTTTTTTTCTTGCAAGAATTTATCTTGGACTTAGTGAAATGAATTTAATGATGTATTTTCCTAGTCCTTAAAATAGTTTTCCTACCTAAAATTGTCTTTTTCTTTATAATATCTTTCAACTGCTTAGTACTGGATCTATTAGTGGGTGCTAAATAAATGTTGGCTATTAAATATATTGTGAACAAAGGAACCACTACTTATTGTAATTATGTGAGAAAATTGTGCATGTATTGAACTAATTTCCATTTCCTGCCCTTCTCTATAGTGTATAACATTATTCTAGAAAGCAGAGACGATTGAGTTTATTGGTTCTTGAAAGTGAATGTGGGCCCATCTAAAAGCCATTGCCATTGTCACCCATCCTCAGATTAGGCTTGTTTATGCTAGGAGATTGGCCAATTCTTACATTTATTGGTACTGCAGTCCATGGTATTCAAAAACAGTAATTGTGGACAACATTCTAGTTTAGAAGAAGGAAAAAATGTAAAGAAAATCTCAGGGGTCTTACTCAGTATTTAGTACTCTCTCTCTCTACTCACAGATAAGCTAACAGAGAGAGAAATTACTTCATTCTTTTTCCATTTGTCAGCAGTGCCAGCGGAACAAAATTTCACTCATGGCTCTTTTCCTTATTTTCAGTATATTCTTTTTGTTGATTGATGTTCAAGATGTAGTCTCCACTTTAAATGATACTTTGGATGTTCAGTCACACCACACATATCAGGATCCCTACTCCTAATGTATGCTTGGTGTATATTCTATAGTTACCAAGTAGCCTGGAAAATATAGCAGTATTTAAAGTTTTAATGTGGGTATGGGGAAATTATTTGTTAGTGTAACATATTTGAGAACTGGAATTTAAGTATTTTTAAATATTAGGCAGGTCATTTTGTAGAATTCCAGAATGTTTAGTAGCTTGTATGAAATTTCACCTGGGTTGGGTGGCAGAATCAGGCCTAGCTTATAGTAATACTTTCTGCCACTTATTAAATCCTGACTGTGCCAATGACTGTTCTAGGCATTCTATATGTAATAACTCATTTAATGTTTATTATAGTTTTAGCAATGAAGAAACAAATAAAATAATTAATTGACAGATAATCTAGCGCTAAGTGACTTTGAGCCAGTTGTTTCTTCTCAAAGAATGTGTGAGTGGAGTTGTTAGGAAGGTTGTGGAGGCTAGGGTTGTAGCTCAGTGGTAGAACCTTGCCTAGCATGTATGAGATACTGGGTTCAAATCTCAGCACCACATATAAATAAATAAAATAAAGGTCCATTGACAACTATAAAAAAATTTAAAAAATTTTTTAAAAAGAAGGTTGTGAATCTGATTTTTATTCTTATTTAATGTTAGTCTGAAAAATACATTTAGTAGCATTAGAGAAATTCATGATAATGGTAATGAGGATATTTGAAATTAATTAGCACTTTAAAAATGAATTAAAGTACCTCTAATAATGTTACAATATATATTTTGTGTCTTCTCATTTTAATTTTTTAACATATAAGTAGTGAAGCTTGGAATGTTATAAATAACAGTTGAATTTTCAAGATAGTTTTTCGTGTGGTTAAGTTAGAATCAGACCCACAGAGAATCACTACCACCAACAAGACTGCTGTTTGTAATGTTAGAAGTTAGGTACTGCAATCATTCACAATGATGTGAATGACATCTCCAAGATTGTGCAGCGAAGGCCCTGGCTACTAATGGCTTGTGGAACCCAAACCACGTTCATGCTAAGTGTGTATTGTCATAAGCCTACTTTTCAGTTTTTTTTTTTTTTTTTTTTTTGTTTTGTTTTTATTTGTTGTTGTTGTTTTAATTAAAATCAGGCAACCAAAATGGTTTGCCCTAAATTCTGTGGTAACAAAAAGCTGATAAATTATTCATATCTATGATCTTTATAGCAATAATATTTATCTCTATATTACTTTAGTTGTTTTCACAAATACTCACTTTTGTTCTTAAATACATGGTTTTTTATTTTTATTTTTTTTGGTATGGGGGATTGAACCCAGGAGTGCTTTACACCTGAGCTGCATCCCCAGCCCTTCTGTTTTTGTGTTTTTTTTTTTTTTTTTTTTGGGGGGGGGGGTGGACAGGGAAATATGAGGGATTGAACCCAGGGCGTTTAATCACTGAGCCACATCCCCATCCCTTTTTGGAGACATGGTCTTTCTGAGTTGTTTAGGGCCCTGATAAGTTGCTGAGACTGGCTTTGAACTCATGATTCTCTTCTCAGATCTTGTTTTTTATTTTAATTTTTTTTTTAAAATTTTGAGACAGAATTTCACAGAGTTGTTGGGGCTGGCCTCAAACTTAGAATTGTCCCGCTTCAGCCACCTGAGTTGCTAGGATTACAGGTGTGCACCACTATACCTGGCTTTCCTTGAATTCATGTTAATGTGAGATACTTATATAAAATATAAATGTACACACACTCACATACAACCCTAACAAAGGATCAAGATATTCCTGTTTTTAGTCCTTGGTTTTGGAATTCTTTTTACTTGTGTAATCCTGTTTTCCATCTTAATCTGTAATCTTGAAGGTTGCCTGAAAGTATTTGTTAGCTGGGTTATGGATATTTTTATCTCATTATCTAGGTTAAATGAGGTTCTTCTGGGCTCATTCACATGGTGTTGGGTATCACAGAGTGTGATTCCCAGTGTACAATCTTTCTCTTGAGTTGGATTTAATCAAAGGAAGTCATGGCAGCCAGATTTGTAAAAATTAATAGGGAAATACACTCCATTTTTTTTTTTTCTTCTTATTCTCCTCTCCATTCCTTCCTTCCTTCTTTTCTTTCTCTCCTTTTTTTATTCCTTTTCTTTTTTCTTTCTGTACTGAGGTTTGAACTCATGACCTTGCTTTGAACTTGAAATCTATTTTAGTTGTAGTTGGACCCAATACCTTTATTTTGTTTATTTGTGTTTATGTGGTGCTGAGAATCGAACCCAGGGCCTATCACATGCTAGGCGAGCACTCTACCGCTGAGCCACAATCCCAGTCCCTATGCTTTACTTTTTTTTTGCCTTTGTTTATTTATTTATTTATTTTTTACATTTGAATCAGATTCTTTACGCTTTACTTCTTGATGATAGGAGTGACATAGTCAATTTCACAGGTATAAGCATTGGGAAAGATTTGTGGTTATTTATAATTTATTATACGTATGTCCTAGTTTTTCTTCCATCTCTATTTCATTCGGATATTCATTCAGACATTTATTGTGTTCCTGTGTCCTAGATGATAAGGAATATTTTTAAAAGTTTATTAGAACAGGAGTTTTTTGTCAAGAAATAAATGAGATTTCTGTTCTTTCACTCTACCCTAAAGTAACACTTACTATATAAGAACTGTGAAAATATGAAAACTGTAGCTAGTTTCTTCCATCCTTCCCCCAATTCAGTGCTCTAAATCTTATTTTTATTTTATCTAGGTTCTCAGGTAACTAATGTCAGAACGTTAATTATTTTAATAATGGCTGTTACTAAATCTGATCTGATCGGTTAGACCTGTTTGTGTGCAGAACTGCTGAGAAGAAAGTAACATTTATTGAATTTACATTGGGGCCATTCACAGCGTTAGGCCAGTAAAACAGTTTGTGCCATCTTTGAAACATTGCCTGCCTTGTTAGAAAATTTTCATTTTGACCAGTTGTGCCTGCTGTATCCTCCTCAACTACTTAGGAACTGGTCTACAGAATGTTATCATGGTAGCACCAGATGTTATAACTGAGAAAGCTTTTTTCTTCTATTATTGTATTAATTTAAAAAGGTAGATAACAATAATTTTATTCTTATTTTTTCCATATTTTATTGGTGCATTATAATTATATGCATGATATAATAGTGTAATTTGGTCCAATATCATTCCCAAGTATTTTCACTAATAATTTAATTTGTATTTCAGTTGAAGTTTTTTTTGGATATTTTTGAAATGACATTGATTAAATGTCATCACTTATTTGTAGTTTGATTTGAAAATATGTGCCAGATGTTGTGGAGAAATGGCTCCCTCTTCTGGCACACTCTTTTATGTCTGATGTTTAGATTGTCACATAAAGAACTTAATGAGCAGGTCTCCTTTTTTAAAATAAGGGACTCCTCTTACTCCCCTACCCCCATAAAAACCAATCAACCAAACACAGCAGAGTTGAACCACCTTCTACCTTACTTTGACTTTTGAATTGAATAATTATCCAATTTTTGAGTTTTCTTCAAATTGATGCTGATAAATGTTAAAAATGTGTCTGTCATTTGTATTTTTTATGGATCATTATCCTGAGGAACTTCTTTTTAATCTTAGAATATTGATAGGTACACTATAACAACTATAAGACACAGGTTTTGAAGTCAAAATAGTTTGTATAATACTAGACCAAGTAAGTTATATTTATTTGCTATGAGACTTATCAGAGATCTTAATAGTCATTGTGTATGTTGACCTACTGTGGCAAACCTCTGGAGTGAAAATGATTTTCCAAACTTATTTTGTTACAGAATTCCCTTTTGGGGGAATACATTTTTGAGAAATAGCAAATTGTTTAACAAAATTCATTCTTCGTGTTTTTAAAAAAATTCCTTCCTATTAACTGTAGTTACTTCTTTATTGCTGCAATCTTTACAGGTTAATAAAACACTATTAAGTCTTGTAGATTTAGTTTTGGTGAAGTTATTTCCTGGTAGAAAGGCTGCCTTTTTCTTTTAATTTTTTTTCTTTTTAGTTGTAGATGGACACAATATCTTTATTTTGTTTATTTATTTTTCGGTG